GTCTGTTTTGGGCCTCAACCACGCCCTTACGGTTTTGTTTCTAGGAACTCACACTAGAACTTCCTAGTGGGTCACCCATCCTAGGATTGCTCTCGCAGCGAACTCGCTTAACTTCGAAGTTTTGATGGAACTCGAAGTCAATGAGCTCCCAAAATGCCTCGTGCTAGGTAGAGATGAGAATATACATATAAGGCTTACAAGATCCATTCCATTGGGTGATGTGGGATGTTACATGAGAACTTCCCAGTGGGTCACCCATCATGGGATTGCTCTTGCAGCGAACTCGCTTAATTTCGGAGTTCCGATGGAACTTGAAACTAGTGAGCTCTCAAAAGGCTTCGTGCTAGGTAGAGATGAGAATATACATATAAGGCTTACAAGATCCATTCTCTTTGGCGATGTGGGATGTTACAATCCATCCCCCTTAGGGTCCCGACGTCCCCGTCGGCACACTTAAGGCCAGAGATTGGCTCTGATATCAAATTGCCACATCCTGGCCCGGGCCCCCACCACATACCGGGCTCGACTCCACCGTAGCACGATATTGTCCGTTTTGGGCCTCGACCACACCCTCACGGTTTTGTTTATGGGAACTCACACGAGAACTTCCCAGTGGATCACCCATCATGGGATTGCTCTCCCAGCGAACTCGCTTAACTTCGAAGTTCCGAGGAAACCTGAAGCCAGTGAGCTCCCAAAAGACCTTGTGCTAGGTAGAGATGAAAATATATATATAAGGCTTAAATGATCCACTCCCTTGGGCGATGTGAGATGTTACAGGAATGCCCTAAATCGATTGGCTTATAATCATTCTTATAAATTTCTCAAATTGATTGGAAAACGTGGGTTATAACTCACAATTTTTGTGAAAAAAATTGAAATTCTTAGTTATAAGAATTATTTTGCCTAGGAATTAAGAAAAATATTGTAAGACTTTTGAATGTGATTGTACCGTCTATAAGGTCCTCGAACCAAATTTTCATTGATATTTAAAGTTGAAAACTAGAAAAAAATAAATATGAACTAATAGAAGGCCTCTCAAAAATACTTTTATGTGTCTGAAATGTTGAGAATGGCCTAAAATCATATTTAAGAAACATGTGGTGTGACAAGAATAATTTGAATTACTCAATTTTTGGCTTATAATAATTCTCGTAAACTTTTCCAAATCTATTGAAAAACATGGGTTATAACTCACAATTTTGTGAAAAAAATAAAAAAAAATTTAGTTTTAGGAAATATTTTGCCTGGGAGATAAGGAAAAAGTTGCAAGACTTTTGAATGTGATCCTACCATCTATTAGTTTCCCGAAACTAATTTTATTGATTTTTAAAGTTGAAAATAGAAAAAATAAATATGAAATATAGAAGGCCCCACAAAAATACTTTTATGTGTCTGAAATGTTCGGAACGCCCTAAAATTAAAATTAAAAATGTGTGGTGCGACAAAAATGACTAAAACTTTTTGCTTATAATGACTCTCGTAAAAAATTCCAAATCGATTGGAAAACATGGGTTATAACTCATAGTTTTTGTGAAAAAATCAAAAATTTTAATTTTAGAAAATATTTTGACTGAGAGTTAAGAAAAATGTTGCAAGACTTTTGAATGTTATCCTACCATCTATCTGGTCAGGAAACTAGTTTTTGTTGATTTTGGAAATTGAAAAATAGAAAGAAAAAAATTTGAGCAAATAGAAGGGCCCCAAAAAATGTCACATCCTGGCCCGGGCTGGGATGTGTCAATTCGGTATCAGAGCCAATCTCTGGCCGGTAGTGTGCCGCGCGAGGACTTCGGGCCCCTAAGGGGGGTGGATTGTTACATCTCACATCACTCAGGAAGTGGATCATGTAAGCCTCATATATATATATATATATATATATATTCCCATCTCCAATTAGCATGAAACTTTTTGGGAGCTCACTGGCTTCGGGTTCTGTAGGAACTCCAAAGTTAAGCGAGTTCGCGCGAGAGCATTCCCATGATGGGTGACCCACTGGGAAGTTCTTGTGTGAGTTCCCAGAAACAAAACCATGAGGGCGTGGTAGGGGGCCCAAAGCGGACAATATCGTGCTACGATGGAGTTGAGCCCAGGATATGGTGGGGGCCTGTGCTGGGATGTGACAAAAAAATATATTTATGTGTCTGAAATGTTCGAAACGCTCTAAAATTAATTTTAGGAAACATGTGGTGCAACGAGAATTACTAAAATTTTGCCTTATATTAAAAATTCTCAAATTGATTGGAAAATGTAGGTTGTGATCGTACCATCTATTGGTCTCAGAACTAATTTTTAAAGTTGAAAAATTAAAAAAATAAATATGAACTAATAGAAACACCCCCCCTTGCAAGAATTCTGAATTTTATCCTGCCATCTATTAGGTCCCGAAATTATTTTTTATTGATTTTTGAAGTAGAAAAAACGAAAAAATGAAGATGAAATAATAGAACCCCCCCCCCCAATTTTTTTTTTATTTGTCTAAACTGCTCGAAATGCCCTAAAATTAATTTTAGGAAATAAATAGGTGGTGCGACGAGAATGACTAAAATTTTGGCTTATAATGATTCTCGTAAAAATTCTCAAATCAATTGGAAAATGTGTGTTGAAACTTACAATTTTGTGAAAGAAAAAAAAATTCAAAATTTTTAGTTTAGGAAATATTTTGCCTGGGAGTTAAGGAAAAAGTTCCAAGACTTTTGAATTTTATCCTACCATCAATTATGTCCCGAAACTAGTTTTTATTGATTTTTAAAGATGAAAAATTGAAAACATAAATATGAACTAATAGAAGGCCCCCCAAAAATATATTTATGTGTCTTAAATGCTCGAAATGCCCTAAAATTAGTTTTAGGAAACATGTGGTGCAACGAGAATGAATCAAATTTTATCTTATAATGATTCTCTTAAAAATTCCCAAATCGATTGGAAAACGTGAGTTAAGGAAATATTTCTCACAGTTTTTGTGAAAAAATTGAAATTTTTAGTTTTAGGAAATATTTTTCCTGTAAGTTAAGGAAAATGTCGCAAGACTTTTTTATGTGATCCTACCATCCATGGAGTCCTGAAACTAATTTTTATTGATTTTAAAAGTTGAAAATAGAAAAAAATAATGTGAAGTAATAGAAGTTCCCCAAAAATACTTTTATGTGTCAGTGATGTTGGGAATGCCTTAAAATTTAATTCAGAAACATGTGGTGTGACGACAATGACTTAATTTTGTCTTATAAAGAATATTGTAAAAATTTCTAAATCGATTGGAAAATGTGGGTTATAACTCACAATTTTTGTGAAAACATCGAAATTTTTAGTTTTAGGAAATATTTTGCCTAGTAGTTAAGGAAAATGTTGCAATACTTTTGAATGTGGTCCTACCATCTTTGAGGTCCCGAAACTAATTTTTATTAATTTTTAAAGATGAAAAATAGAAAAAATAAATATGAACTAATAGAAGGCCCCCAATTTTTTTTTTATATGTCTAAAATGTCTGAAATGCCCTAAGATTAATTTTAAAAAATATGTGGTGTGACGAGAATACTTTTGAATTTTGCTTTAGCTCTTATGCTCTTTTTCTTCTTCCATACCCTCAAGTGGGTGGAATAACGGGCCAAGGGCTTCATTTCCATGCATTCCAGCCTCCGTGGACTAAAGATTCTCGTAAGAATTCCCAATTTGATTGGACAACTCACAGTTTTTGGGAAAAAATCAAAATTTTTTGTTTTAGGAAATATTTTGCCTGAGAATTAAGGAAAATGTTGCAAGACTTTTGAATGTGATTATACCATCTATTAGGTTCCAAAACAAATTTTTATAGATTTTTTAAAGTTGAAAAATAGAAAAAAATAAATATGAACTAATAGATACCCCCCCCCCCCCGCAAAAATATTTTAAAGTTGAAAAATAGAAAAAATAAATATGAACTAATACCCCCCCCCCCGCAAAAATATTTTTATGTGTCTAAAATGTTGGGATGCCCTAAATTTAATTTTAGGTAACATGTGGTGCGATGAGAATTACTTGAATTTTGGCTTATCGTAAATTTCCCAAACTGATTGGAAAACGAGTGGGTTATAACTCACAATTTTTGTGAAAAAAATCAAAATTTTTAGTTTTAGGAATTATTTTGCCTAGGAGTTAAGGAAAATGTTGCAAGACTTTTGAATGCGATCCTACCATCTATGAGGTCCCGAAACTAATTTTATTGATTTTTAAAGTTAAAAAATAGTAAAATTACTTTTATGGAACATGTGGTGCGATGAGAATGACTCGAATTTTTACTTATATTATTCTCGTAAAGATTTCCAAATCAATGTCAAAACATGGGTTATAACTCACAGTTTTTTTTTTTTTTTTGAAAAAAATCGAAACTTTTAGTTGTAGGAAATATTTTGCCTGGGAGTTAAGGAAAATGTTGCAGGACTTTTGAAATGATCTAAACATTTTATGTGTCATGAAACAAATTTTTAAAGTTGAAAAATAGGAAAAACAAATATGAATCAATAAAAGTTCCCCGAAATATATTTTTATGTGTCAGAATGTCCTATAAACATATGGTGAGACAAATACTGACTTATAATGATTTTTTGTAAAAATTCTTAAATTGATTGGAAAACTTGGGTTATAACTCATAGTTTTTGTAAAAAAATCGACATTTTTAGTTTTGGAAAATATTTTGCATAGGAGTTAAGGAAAATGTTACAAGACTTTTGAATGTGATCATATCATCTATTATGTCCCGAAATCAAAATTTCCAAGTTTTTAAAGTTAAAAAAAATTTAAACTAGTTGAGGGCCCATCAAATTTATTTTTATGTGTGATGCGACTAAAATGACTCGAATTTTAACTTCTAATGAATTTAAAATTTGGTAAAAATTATTGATGAAACGAGATTAAAAAATGGGAACATATAGAGTATCGGCATACTATCGCAACTCATCCAGGCAATTTGTATCTGGGAAATTTGGAGGAAGGAAAAAAAAACAAAAACAAAAACAAATAGAGAGTAAATAGAGAAGCAAAAGAATTAGGTGGTATAATAAATGTATAAGCATATTGTTGCAGAAACCTAAGGAAGCAAAGAACCAATATACATCCTCTACAATGTGCCACAATGCTTACAAGATTGTCTAACAAATTATCTAGTATTGTATTCTTCAATCTGCACATAAAATCGGTAGCTTCCCTCAATCATTCATACGCCGGCTTCGGCCGGTAACCTGGTAACTCCTTCAAAATCATAAGCATGGAACTGTGCTCCATCAAATAGAAAATCCACATGTATTGCAATGATCAATGATATAGTCTTATTCAACTCTTGTCCCTATTTCTTGTTTGTTTCTATTTACCACTCGAATGCTTGCTGGTAATGATGTAAGATGCGATAAATATGGATCAAAATTGGCAATCATAGTGTATAATCAAGTGAATTAATCAAGTGCAGTTTTTCTTCGACCTGTCATTGGCTTAGGCAAACCATCAAATATTGGTTTCGCAATGACTGCAGTTGAAAAGGCTTGTAAATCTGGCTTCAAACTCCACTTAGATGTTGACCAGATGGATGCAGAACCGCTACTCTCGTGATCCTGCAAATTTGATGTGCTCGACGACTTCCTCACTCCAGATAATTCATCTGCTATAAGCGAATCACCCAGACCTACTGGTATAGGATTCAAGCCACCAGCTTCAACATCATTTCCTAAAGCAGTTCTATTAGCTGCTGTGGGTCTAAGGGCCAAGCACTTTCCTGTAATTGCTGAAAACCCGGCATTGCCGCTGTTATCTCCCAAAAGCTTCTCAGGGGTGCGAGAAAAGTCTGCTTCAGATTTCTGACGCCTTCTAATTCGCAATGGATCAGAGTCACCGTCAGCAGGCATGGAATCAGAAAGTTCACTATTCTCATCCAATTTAACTAGGCTTCTTGACTTTCGAGGTTGGCTCAAAGGTTGGTCAGAAGCTGTTGAGGCTCCAAGGAATGGCCCATCTTCTAAATAATGGGCACCTCCATTTTTGTAGACTGCCATTTCAAAACCTTCAGTTATAGAGTTCTGATTTCTTGGTTTCAGCCCGTAATAACTTTGTAATGAGTTCATAGCCAAGGAGGGTTTCTTCGTACAAGTAACTCTATGGGACCCAAAAGAGTTAAACAGATCACATTGTATGCTGCGAGGTGGGGTCTGGTTGGAACTACTGTGGCTGTATAAGCAAGTGTTAACATGGTAAGTCACAAATCAATCACAAACAAAACACGGTACAAAATAATATAATGACGAAAAAATGTTAAGCAATATTTAAAGACTAAGAGAACCTATTGACTTTCTTTTCGGTTCTATATTCACTGAGAGATAATTGACCTCTAATATATATCTTGACATGTTACCTAAAATGCACACTGCATTAGACCATAATCACCTAAAAATGCATTCCCAAAAATGAAAAAACTTTGTGATCGAGGCTGCCTCATTCAAGAAAGAAGCAACATCTCAAATATGACACAAAATGTCAGTTGAACACATTGACAGCAGATTAATACGAGAATCTGATTCCGAAGTGCATTTCCTAACAATAGGTGCAGATCCAACTGCTCCCTGCCCCAATCATGTGCTTCACTTATTTTGGGGAAGAACTAGAGGTGTAATACTATTATGTTTGGGATACAACTTTGACTTAATCATATATTCGGCTACTGTAAACAAGTTTGCAAACCAAAAAGTCAAATAACCAAACAAATTAAGAGTAGAGACAGATAATTACCCTGGTGTCTTGGAACCGTCTGATAAACAAGGGGATGGAGGATGCCTCCCAGGTAGTGGAATCTGAAGAACCCGGAGGCCAAACATTTGGCGATCTGTAACAAGGCCGTTAATCTTTTTGATGTCGGCCACCTACAATATCACCAAAACACTACTTATTTTCGACAAAAAGCTCGATAATCAAACAAGCAAACAAATAATAATCAGGCACATTGCCGAGATATCTGAAACACAATGCCCCTTTGGAAGCAATAAGAACATCAAAACTCAAACAATTATTCGCATTCCCAATTTTCCATTGACTACATCAGCTATGAGACTCAAACATTTCTCAGAATCCAGCAAATATTCGATTAACCAACAAAAAAATGACACAGAAAAACCCAGAAATTCAAAACAGTAAATGAAGCAGAAGAATTCCAAAGTTCACATGTATTTTTGGAGAAATGCAAAGATCAAAAGCGGAGATGAGGAAATGGAAATGGTACCTCAACGCCGTATTTGATGGCGACGCCAACAAGCGTGTCGAATTTGGAAACGACATGTTCTATGTACCCTACTCCTCCGCCACCGACCAAAGCGGGAGAGGAAGATCGTGGCGGCGACGAAACCGGGAGAAAAGGGGAAGACGAAGAAGAAGAAGCCGACATTGGATTGGTGTTGGTGTTATTGTATCGGTTATGCAAGGAGGACGAAATCACCTGATCTGCATGACTACAACAAAACTCGCTTTCCATCTCCCCCATTCAATTCACTTTCACTTTCACATTCGCAATCCGATTCCCTCCCAATCATATGTCATACCTCTCGATTCCAAATACAAATACGAATCTGAGAGGAAAAGCGATCGCCATCATTCGATTCTCGAACAAAATCGGAATCCCCCAACGCAGACGAGAGATCTAATCTATTGGAATTTGACTGATTCACCACCGATCGAATCAACCTGATGAATTCGAATCTGTCTTCCAAATGCAGCGTGCGATTTCGTCAATTCGTCGATTCTTCGATGCTTAGCTGGTTGCGGAAATTGAACCTCGAATGGACGATGATATGAAACGTTTATCTGCCGCCTCCTCCTCCTCCTCCTCCTCCCTTGTTCCTGAGATCTTGCGTCCTTCTTTTCCTCTTCCCGTTTTTACCTTCTCTCTCGCTTTCTCTCTCTTAAATTTTTAGATTGCGGATTAACCGATCGAGGCTACAGGTGACGTCACCCCACATCCCAGGCTATACTTTCTTAATTTGTAGTATTTTGGATGTAATTTATACGTTTTAATTTTTTCCTAATTTTGTTGGAAACTTTAACGAAAAGCTTCCATTTGTTCATTGCAACGAAAAACCATATTTTATACTGAAAAGTTAATTCTGGTATTATTCACCTTACCTTTTATTTTATATTTATCGTTAAAACTCAAAATTTTCAAGTTTTTTTCATTAGTTTTTCTAATTTTGTTTTGGTTTTACCCTTTATTTTTTGCTGTTTCTGTTTTCTTATTTGTTTTTTCTACCTGATATCAAGCGGTTAGTAAATGAAAAGTAATTCCTAACTGAATTCATTTTTAGTCCAAAACCAATCACAATTATTCAAATGGGCTGTCGTTTTTATGTTTGACCTTTCATTTTACTAAGCCAGCGCTAATCATGGAATAATCTCAAAAGAATTTTACGGGTTTATTCTCTCACCATTTTCTATTCAAAACGAAGAAGACCGTTATTACCCAAAAAAAAACAAAAAAACGAAGAAGACCGTTAGACCTTAGACCAAGTTTTTGCTTAAACAATGTTATATAGTGGGGGGGGGGGGGGAAAAGTTTATATAAAACGAGTTTATCACCGCCATGTAGCATCTGATTGCTTTTCTATCGATCATCTTGGAGAAGTAAAAACTAATTTTGCCGCAAAGTCAAAGGTTAATGCTTTATTTTCCAGTTCCTAGCATTCCTTGTTGTCCAAGCTGCTTCTAGTCAATGGCGCTAATTGCTCTCATGATTTACTTCCAGTTGCCGCCTCCCTAACACCAGTTTCATTATTGTTACCTAATTCCGAATTTGTTCATAATTTATTGCCTGCAAGCCTCTACTCAACCTAAGTAACGAGTCAACAGAAAAAAGATAAAAATAAAAATGCTCAGATACAAATCCACACTACTATTCTCGAAACTGACCGTAAAAGTTTCCTGCATACCATAACAAATGTGGAGGCCCCAGATAACGACATGGTCCTCGTTTTTTAAGACTTTATATGACATACGATTGATTTTTGATGTGCTTCACCTTCATGTAACTAATGTGATACAGTAAAACAAGTTTAGCCATCCAACCTCATCATCTCGTGTCCCTAACATTGGTTTAGCAATCGCCTCATGAACCATGAGTCAGGCCATCTCTTCTGGCTGCTTAAACTGATGAGTAAATAGAGAATAAAAACCAGGCGTACAAGGCACCATAACCGTGGTCATATGCTTTATCTAATCAGTGTTACTCTCTAAGGTGGTTGCATCTCTCATACCAAGACCATTGTAGATGTGACACCAATGGCACAAAACCGGCATTACATCTTTTTATGGAAAAATGATCCGAATCCAGCTCAACCCTCGCTAGACTCCCATAAACTCATTGGGAAGCCTCTTGATAACAGTTAGCCGCAATATCCTGCAGGTGTTACAAGCCTTTTAAGCCACAGGGATGTTAGGTTCGTTTAAATTCACAAAGGCCTCAGCTCGAGCCATGCGTGCCATTGCCGCATTCCAAGACACAAGATGATTCATAAACGTATCCACGTACTTTCCCCTGTCATTCTGTTAACAAGTTACCCAAGGATCATTAAAAAATTAGAGCCACCTAGTGGAAACTAAATGAAGTTTGATACCAATACAAACCTTGAAATCCAGATAATAAGCATGCTGCAAGAACGAAAGCAAAAAGGAAAAAGTATTAGCATATTTAAGAAAATTTCATCTCCCTCCCCGCGAGAGAGAGAGAGAGAGAGAGAGAGAGGAGGGGGTGGGGCGGGTAGAAAAGAGCAGAGAGCGAGAGATATCATTTACACACCTCCCAAAGATCCAAACTGATTATTGGCTGCAGGATAAGAGATAATTAATGAAACTGCTGAAATAAGTGTCAGAAAAAAATTGGGAAAAATTGGTTTTACTTACTATGTCATCCCAAACAATTGGGCAAATGGCATTCGAAGTTTTAATTATCTGAAGTCGTCTCTCTTCTCTCTTTACTGGGAAAATGAAACAAGGAAAATTATCGGTAACCAGAGGAGTTATTTAGCAAACAAGGTCACAAGATGAATTCTTTGGCAGGTAAGTACAGAAACTTAGTGATGTTGAACTCGAAAAAATTAATGTAAGTTTGAGATTACCCAATCAATGAATATGAGGAAAATTCATTCTTTGAAATTCCAGACACATTAACTCACACAAGTTCAGAAATAAACATGAGAAAGGACTTACAAACAAGCCAAACCCAGCCAGAGCCAAATAGCGTAAGTGCTGCTTCTGTAAACTTCTCTCTGAAGTTTGAAAAGGAACCAAAATCCTTTTCTATCTGCTGAAGGACACCCAGTTGGGGCATCTCTCCTCCTCCCGGTTGCATGGACTCCCAAAAGAAGTCATGATTCCACACCTACAACGATAAAGTCAAAGAATGTCATCTCATAATCCCCAAATTAGATGTCGAACAAGGTCAACTTTCCTTGTTGCATATCACTTTTCACAACATGTCACCTGTTTGCAACATTTTTTCATGCTATGACCAAGACTGGACTTCAAGTTTGTGAGTCTTAAACCAGTCTGAAACTGCACTAAACCTTTAGGAACAACCTACCAGGAAAACTAAAAATTTGAACAAGCTTTAGAATCAGTTCTGCTTCAAGCTACATGATTGTATCACATATTGTCCGGTGGTAGTATATTTGAGCCTAAGAAAGTCAACTAAGCATATAACAGCCTGTAGCTAAACATTCCACATCTTTGATCAGTGACCCCTATGCAGGCTCATTGATAGCATTTAAAAATGATCCAGTCAAGAAAAGTATACAAATCAGCTAACGATTTTGTAGATACCTGAGCAGCGTTGTTAAATTCAGGCAAAGGATTCCCATTATTATAAGTTGCTTTGACAAGTTCATCGAAAGTGTAGCCATATAGTACGTCACTCTTCTCCAGCTGTTTGTTCAGACCTTCCACATAGTTTCGATGATGGCCTCCCCAGTGAACTTCCAATGTTCTCTGACTCATATAAGGCTCCAAAGCATCCTGAAAAAAGAAACATTACACTTCAGTCAGGGAAGATCATATGCATGTTGTACGTATAATATAATTTCATGTATGTATCATCACGCGACAAGAATAAGCAGCTGGACACAGAATAGTAATCTCCACACAATAAGATTTACAACGCGAGATGGATAACTGCGATAAGTGAGGGCTTCATAGAATCAAATGCTACACCACACGAACTTCAGAAACCAAACAGTCACATCACTAAAGTATCTTGCAAATCCAATCAGGTTATAAGACATTGACAAAGGCAAATAGGAAACCTAAAAACTTCTTCTCTTCATGCACCTAATGTGACAGTAGAAGCTGACTTGGCCAACCCGATTTCATGTCCTTAAAAATTGGTTTAGCAAAACGAGAAAGTAGTTTACTTACAAGTTTATAGGGAGGGTTTTTCAATCCATAGTAACCGACAACTCTAGAAGCTCTTGGAGACCCATCGGGCTGTCTTTTCTGCTGCTTACACTGAGAAAATAGAGAGCCAACAGACACTCATTCTCTAACCAAATGTTGTGAACAAAAAACCACATTTTATAGCGCAATCGAATATTTGAATCCGTTACAACTTATAAGGGGAAAATAAACGCGGCAGGAGCGAAAACACAAACGAAATTACAACAAACTATATAGAAAAATAGCCAAGTACACAATAATTACGTACCGGAAGAGGAAGCTGGGAACTCTTAAAAGAGTGAGAAAATTCAGTCAATAAAAGGTGAGAGCTTGGAGGTGAAGGACTAGAAAAACAGAGCATCATTGCTCTCCTTTAATTGCTCCTCTCGCACTCAAATATGATTTAACTGAACTGAAACAAGCAAAATTTGAGGGCTGACATACTTGAACAACAGAACATTAACATAATTAACATAATTAAGAGAGAGAGAGAGAGACCTTGGTAGTTGGTGTTGATGACGAGCGGCGTCCGGTGGAAAGAGAGAGAAGCTTTTCATATGAAAGGAGGGGGGTTATCGTTTCGTCTGCATTTTCTGTTCATTTGTTTACTTTTTCGGCCTCCTATCATTGCCAATTTACATTCTGACCAGAAAAATCACTGTTCGTTCGACTCAGGTCCATTTGTTTACCATTTCGTCCTCCTATCACTGCCGAAAGGAAAATCCAAGATTTTAACTCCCCGGGGACAGTATAACAAAAATTGGGAATTCAAGATACCATCTTTTCTACCACTTATTCTTTAACATTCCTATGAGAGTACTGTATAAGAGTATTTCTTTCTAAATATTGAAAATTTAAAATACATAATTAAATTTTGAAGCATCAACAACAATTTCCTTCCTTTATCCACTTTTCAATTTTGCCACGTTTTTTGTTGAATTAGTGGTCAACAACAACAACAACAACAACAACAAAGCCTTTTCCCACTAAGTGGGGTCGGCTATATGAATCCTAGAACGCCATTGCGCTCGGTTTTGTGTCATGTCCTCCGTTAGATCCAAGTACTCTAAGTCTTTTCTTAGAGTCTCTTCCAAAGTTTTCCTAGGTCTTCCTCTACCCCTTCGGCCCTGAACCTCTGTTCCGTAGTCACATCTTCGAACCGGAGCATCATTCGGCCTTCTTTGCACATGTCCAAATCACCGGAGCCGATTTTCTCTCATCTTTCCTACAATTTCGGCTACTCCTACTTTACCTCGGATATCCTCATTCCCAATCTTATCCTTTCTCGTGTGCCCACACATCCCACGAAGCATCCTCATCTCCGCTACACCCATTTTGTGTACGTGTTGATGCTTCACCGCCCAACATTCTGTGCCATACAACATCGCTGGCCTTATTGCCGTCCTATAAAATTTTCCCTTCAGCTTCAGTCGCCTACGACGGTCACACAACACGCCGGATGCATTCTTACACTTCATCCATCCAGCTCGTATTCTATGGTTGAGATCTCCATCTAATTCTCCGTTCTCTTGCAAGATAGATCCTAGGTAGCGAAAACGGTCGCTTTTTGTGATCTTCGCTAGATTGCTCCGGTCATTAGTGTGGATAAGTATATAAATGGATAGAGATAGGAAAGCAAACACAAGATGTACGTGGTTCACCCAGATTGGCTACGTCCACGGAATAGAAGAGTTCTCATTAATTGTGAAGGCTTTACACAAGTACATAGGTTCAAGCTCTCCTTTAGTGAGTACAAGTGAATGATTTAGTACAAATGACATTAGGAAATATTGTGGGAGAATGATCTCTCGTAATCACGAAACTTCTAAGTATCGGAGTGTGGTGTCGTCTTGACTTGCCTTATCTGTCTCATAGGTAGATGTGGCATCTTCTCTGGAAGTACTCTTCTTCCATCCAGGGGTGGTATCTTTAACTGGTGGAGATGCACAAGGTAATGTATCAATTTCACTTGAAGCTTACTTGTAGTTTCAGGCTTGGTCAAGCGCGATACAAACCATGTAGTATGAGTCCCCCAAGTCGCCGAGCTAGGGGGTCTGCTGAAAGAGGTGACAGACAAGGTAAGCAATCAGAGCTCCGACTGATTGTTCACCTTCTCCCCATCTTGCAGCAGCATGAAGGATAAAGAGAAGAAAAATGAGAAGAGATGATATGAGATACTTTTGCTTTTGAAGAAGTAACTTTCCACAGGCTTATTCTTGAACTGAGCTGGAGGGTTTTCTGGTTTCCTCCAGAGTATAAGGCCGACTGAAGAATTTGAGGGTCAAAACAAGTCCATCAAATCTAGAGTACGTTCCACCCTGCTGATATGGGATACTTTTGCTTTTGACAGAGAGTAATGGATGTATCGGCACGTGTGCTGTTACGCTTGTCTCCACATGCTTCCTTGTATCCTTCGCACTTGCCCTATCTGTTCCTCAAGTAGATGCGGAATCTTCCCTGGAAACATAAGATGTTGAAGATGAGTACTCGAGAGCAATGCCAGGTAAGTAATCAGGTAAGGGGTTCCAGGCAGTCAGTTCCTGGCTGGAAGCTTGATTCCAAGTGCTGACTGATTGCTCTCTTTCTCCTTGTCTTGCAGGTAAAAAACAAGGCCAAAGGAAAAGACAGGGAAAAAGCATGATATGGGATACTCTTGCTTTTAACCCTGATGATATGAGATATTCTTGCTCTAGTATAGCTTGTTTGCAGAGGTATTATCGGGGGGAAAGAAAGCTGAATATTTCGAAAGGCTTCGTTGGGAGTGCCCTCTCAGATATGATGAAGGGTTGAGCATTTTTGCAGGTCTGCCTGTCCGTTGGGGATGAAGGTCGACATATATAGGAGTCTCCCTAACAAGTAGTAATGCTATTCCTTTACCCTGCTTGGTCATAGCACGGTAGTGGGAGCTACCAGTTTCACATGTTTTAACTCTGTCAGAGCACTTTGAAAAAGTGGTCTGTGGTATCTGGCTCTCGAGATTCGGAGAACGATGCCTTTTCGATTTTTGCGAAAGCAATCATGCTGGGGGTCTGGCTCTCGAGATTCGGAGAGCAGTGTCTCTTCGATTTTTGAGAAAGTAATCATGTTGGGAGTCTGGCTCTCGAGATTCGGAGGGCGGTGCCTCTTCGATTTTGGAGCAAGCAATCTTGTTGGGAGTGTTGTCTCGAATGTGAGTAAAGGTTGGGCATGTTTGCTAGTCTACCTTGCCACGAAGCACAAAGGTTGACACACAGGGACTTTCCAATTATCCAGCAATGGTACTGTTCCTTTACCCTCTCTTCGATTTTGAGAAAGTAGTCATGCTGGGAGTCTGGCTCTCGAGATTCGGAGGACGGTGCCTCTTCGATTTTGGAGCAAGCAATCTTGTTGGGAGTGTTTTCTCGAATGTGAGTAAAGGTTGGGCATGTTTGCTAGTCTACCCTTGCCACGAAGCACAGAGGTTGACAAACAGGGACTTTTCCAATTATCCAGCAGTGGTACTGTTCCTTTACCCTTGTGGGTAATAATATGGTAGCTAGACCTTCAAAATTTATGTGTCTAAACTTTGTTAGTGCTGTTTCTTTGCTATTCTTTTACCTTTCTTGGTCAGAGCGATGTAGTGGGAGCTGCAAGCTTCACGTGCTCAACTTTGGCAGAGAACTTTGGCAAAGTTATCTGTGGTACCCATGAGCTATTGTTGTGTGTAGGAAGTGGGTGATTGAACAGTAAGATTCATGTGCTTTCCACTTCACCAGAAGTCTTCGACAGAATGCCCATAATTTCTGCAAAGCTGAGTGTGCGTGTGACAGGTGCTGACAAGGCTAGAAAAGTAGGTGCCTCTTCGATTTCTGAGATCGGCCCTCGTGGTCTCTGAGCAGTCCAGCTTTTGAGAAAGCGAGCGCCTCTTCGATTGATTCGAGAACGATGCCTCATCGATTTTGAGAAAGCAATCGTGCTGGGGGTCTGGCTCTCGAAGATTCGGGAGCAGTCTCTTCGATTTTGAGAAAGTAATCATGTTGGGAGTCTGGCTCTCGAGATTCGGAGGCGGTGCCTCTTCGATTTTGGAGCAAGCAATCTTGTTGGGAGTGTTTTCTCGAATGTGAGTAAAGTTGGTTGCATGTTTGCTAGTCTACCTTGCCACGAAGCACAGAGGTTGACACACAGGGACTTTCCAATTATCCAGCAATGGTACTGTTCCTTTACCCTCTCTTCGATTTTTAAGAAAGTAGTCATGTTGGGAGTCTGGCTCTCGAGATTCGGAGGACGGTGCCTCTTCGATTTTGGAGCAAGCAATCTTGTTGGGAGTGTTTTCTCGAATGTGAGTAAAGGTTGGCATGTTTGCTAGTCTACCTTGCCACGAAGCACAGAGGTTGACACACAGGGACTTTCCAATTATCCAGCAGTGGTACTGTTCCTTTACCCTTGTGGGTAATAATATGGTAGCTAGACCTTCAAAATTTATGGGTCTAAACTTTGTTAGTGCTGTTTCTTTGCTATTTCTTTTACCCTTCTTGGTCAGAGCGATGTAGTGGGAGCTGCAAGTGCTCAACTTTGGCAGAAGAACTTTGGCAAAGTTCTCTGTGGTACCCATGAGCTATGTTGCGTGTGGGAAGTGGTGTGATTTGAACAGTAAGATTCATGTGTTTTCTACTTCCCAGAAGTCTTCGACAGAATGCCCATAATTTCCGCAAAGCTGAGTGTGCGTGTGACAGGTGCTGACAAGGTTGGAAAAAGTAGGTGCCTCTTCGATTTCTGAGATCGGCCCTCGTGGTCTCTGGGGAGCCCAGCTTTTGAGAGAAAGCGGCGCGCCTCTTCGATTTCTGAGATCAGCCTTTGAGGTCTTTGAGCAGCCCAACTTTTGAGAAAGCAAACGCCTCTTCGATTTCTGAGCAGGCGCCTCTTCGATTTCTGAAGCTCCGTCGAGTGCAGATTTTTATAGGGGCTGGCATTAAGTTCCAAAGCACACTTGAATCTCCACCAGTAGAAGCTTCATTCTTGCACTTCTAAGATCTTGATTTGTCCGACCTCTTCTCTCTTCAACACCTTTGAAAATGTCTGGCCCCCTCCGACCGTCGTTTTTGACTTGAACCTTGTTGAAGAGGCAGCCCCGCCTTCTCCAGACAACATATGGCGCCCATCCTTCGTCTCCCCTACTGGTCCTCTTACCGTTGGGGATTCCGTGATGAAGAATGATATGACCGCTGCGGTGGTGGCCAGGAACCTTCTCACTCCCAAAGATAACAGACTACTTTCCAAACGGTCTTATGAGTTAGCTGTTAAGGATTCGCTGGCTCTCAGTGTTCAGTGTGCAGGTTCTGTGTCTAATATGGCCCAACGCCTAATTTGCTCGAACCCGCCAAGTTGAATCATTGGCGGCTGAAGTGATGAGTCTCAAACAGGAGATTAGAGGGCTCAAGCATGAGAAATAAACAGTTGCACCGGCTCGCACATGACTATGCTACAAACATGAAGAGGAAGCTTGACCAGATGAAGGAAACTGATGGTCAGGTTTTTACTTGATCATCAGAGATTTGTGGGTTTGTTCCAAAGGCATTTATTGCCTTCGTCTTCTGGGACTGTACCGCGTAATGAAGCTCCAAATGATCAACCTCTGATGCCTCCTCCTTCTAGGGTTCTGTCCAGTACTGAGGCTCCAAATGATCCCCCTCCGG